CACACCTGCTTTGGATAGGTATTTACAGCGGTTGTAGCGACCCACTCGTATTGTTAACAATTGAAGTTGAAGGCAGGCGCCTGGGGCTATAAGGCTGTTGAAAATGTGTAAGAAATCGGGCCGGGAATCGGGCTCAGCAGCGGCAACGCCACACTTCATCCAACAGATCAGTTGTACGCAGCAGTAGCAGTTCCTTGCTCAATATGGTGGCGTGATAGAAGAAGGTTTTCGACGTCGGGTCAACGGAGTGCATCTCGCTACAAGTTGATACCATTTACGTGCCTTCAGTCGCGATCAAATGCTCAGCAGTGCATCTCACTACAAGTTGATACCACTTATGTGCCTTCAGTCGCGATCGCATGCTCAACAGAGAGCATCTTGCCATAGTCTAAGTTGATGCCATGTGCGTGTTTATAGTTGCGATCGAATGCTCAACAGAGTGCACACTGTTATCAGATGATATGCTATATGCGTGCGTTTGGGCGTGATCAAATGCTTAACAGCGAGCATCTCGGTATCATACGAGATTGACGTGCCTTTCGTCGCGATCAAAAATGCTTGTGCATATTGTTGTCATGATGATATCTGCGTGCCTTTTGCCGTGATCAAAATGTTGAACAGCAGTGTGCATCTTGTTTCATCCGTTGATATTTACGTGCCTTCCGTCGCGATCAACGTAACCACTCAGGCCGCCCCCCCCGTCACCGTGTCGCACCTTTTTTTTTTTGTAATTTTTCGGAGGGGCGATTTCGGAAATGATCTGGTCGGCACGTGAGAAGGCTGATAGAAGTTACATGGATAGAGCGCCTTCAACAACAACGGCTGCTTGGTAGCTTGTATGCCCACGCGTATTCACGCTAGCCGTATTCGTGCTTGGTGTGCGTTGTCATCCCACTGCTGTTCCCGGCGTCGATTTTCCATGACCGCTGTAGAAGGACATGCCGTATATGACACAAGATAACACACCCCCTGGACAGATTTTCAAAGCTCGATTACTCCACAACGAAGAGCATACATAAACGAAACGATACATTATCGGAGAGCTCTCGACCAGAACCAGACGGCTTCAACGCCGCCGTTTTCGGCGCTGTGGCTCTTCCTGCTGCTGAGAAATCGAGCTTTGAAAATCGGTCAAGGGGGTGTGTTTTCTTTTGTCATGTACGGTGCTGTGACTCTTCCTGCTGACGAGAAATCGAGCTTGAAAATCGGTCAAGGGGGTGTGTTATCTTGTGTCATATACGGTACTGTGATTCTTCCTGTTGATGAGAAATCGAGCTTGAACATAGGTCAAGGGGGTGTGTTATCTTGTGTCATATACGGTGCTGTGACTCTTCCTGCTGACGAGAAATCGAGTTTGAAAATCGGTCAAGGGGGTGTGTTATCTTGTGTCATATACGGTGCTGTGACTCTTCCTGTTGATGAGAAATCGAGATTTGAAAATCGGTCAAGGGGGTGTGTTATCTATCTTGTGTCATATGCGGTCGTTAGATTCCACACGCCCTGGGCCGATTTCAGAGCTCGAATACTAGTATTACTCCACGACAAAAGGAGAGGGATGCCACGTCCAAGGGATGGGTTTTCGGAAAGCTCTCGATGAGGTGGTCCCAACGCCGCCGTTTTAAATATAGCCCCCGTCACTCCCTGCTGCTGTGGAGTAGCCGAGCTTTGAAAAACGGTTGTTTTGCTGCCAAACGGCAGACTGCCGCGAGTTGCGTGAGTTACCACACTCCCCCTTTCTGGGACCGATTTTCCAAGCTCGGTTTCACCCATGGCGAAAGAGGATGCCAATATCAACTTGTCTGTTCAGAGGAAAGTTCTCGACGAGACGGTTCCAACGCTGCGATTTTCGTCACCGTCATCGCTTTTCTTGCCAAGTAACCCAGCTTTGAAATCGGTCCAGGGTGTGTGTGTGTGTGTTGTGTGTTTTCGTCCTATTTATTTGTCAGATGGCGACAGTCCCCCCATTTTTCGTGGTGAGACGTGTACTACACTTTGTCAGCGTACGTAGAGTACTACACTTTTCAGTGTATTTTTTCGTACAACTACAACCATCCAGGGTCACACAGGAGGGGGTAAACACCAGGGCTTTTTTCTTCTTATTTCTTTTCATGCCCCACCTTCCTCCTGCGGTGCGTGTATATCATTTCCAGACTTACAGGGCACAAGGCAACGGGATCATTTTTCTATGCAACAAAACAATCGCAGAAAAAACTCTACAACCCGTTCACGATAACACCACTGCTGTAGAACGGGTGGTGTCAAAATTTTTCAGCAAGGGGACGAAAAAACCGGCTGGTTATTTCCCTGGGTACCAATCGTATACCTCATGTGGTACTCCTTGCGCGAACGCAAGTCGAGTCTAAGCATAGTATCACTCAATCACGCTTTTTGACATTCCCGACCTCAGAAACAAATCGTTATTTCACCAACACTCGCGACTGCGTAGACCAGATATCCACTCCTTGCGCCTGCTGGGCGCAACAAATCACGCTTGTTGCTGATTCCGAAGTTGTCCGGCAGGAGCAGCAGTGCCACACACACGAGCGCGAGCTATGGGACAGCAATCTTGAATATTGTACCAGCAATCGAATGTACAGAACTCCGGGACGGATGCCTTTTGAGCAAAACCCTGCGAGAGGCTCTGATTTAGAGTAAGGTTGACTCAAATAGATCCTGTCAATGTTTCCCCAAGCACACTTCGAAGAGCAATACCCACGCATCTATTCGCATCCTCAGCCAGATCGCAGACCCTCCAACCACAAGCCCACCAGGCTCTCGACACCAGACATGGGGGAGAGATGCTAAGCCTGATGCTAAGGCGTGCAATAAATACCCAACCATTTGGACCGACATGTTCAATGCTCGATTGCTACACGAAGACGAAAGTTTTCGAAAGTGCTCCCGACGAGACGGTTCCAACGCCACCATTATTGACACCGTCACTCTGTTGTCGCTGCAGAGTAGTCGAGCTCTGAAAATCGGTCAAAGGGATGTGTTATCTTGCATCACACATACGGTACGTACAGCGCAGGCGTTCTCGACAAGGCATTTTGCGTGCACACTCATTCGATGCCCCGGTTCTCCGCACGGCCGACAGCCGGATCACGACCGGAGCATCGAATGGAGAAATGCCACAATCAATGCGCTTGGCGTGATGTGCACGGCGGCCGAGGGCGGCGCTACCACTGCCCCCTGGGTCCTCGGAGAGCCAGCCATTGGCGGTCACGGCACGGCGCTTCCACCTTCAAGGTGAAGAACATTGCTGTTGCGGAGGATGGTTGCTGCTGCGCGGCACACACTTCGACGAGAGAGAGACCTGCCTACAGTCTAGGCTGCTACTGCTGTGCTTTACCTGCTGCTGCCAGAGATGACGCTGCGTATCTCCTCGCCATGGTTACGCACGAAGCTCCCGCACTGCTGTGCTTGCTGTGTAGCCAAGAGAGAGTTGGTTGCACCCAAAATACCAGCTCGTGCAGCTGAAGGGACTTAGAATTTGCGGCGAGATTGAAAGTACATCGAGGAGTACACACGCTCACAGGCATGCACGATCTTTGGCTAAAGCGGGGGCCGGGGGTACGCACGGGGTGTTGCGTGTAGACGTTCGTTTGTATTGGAGACACAGAGGATGCACCAGGCAGGTGTAGTGTGCCTGGTGTCAGAGATACAGATACTGCTGTTGCTGTCTCTGCTGCACGGCGCTGCTCCCCACCTCCATGAGATACGCGCATGCAGCATGCAGCTTTTTCTCCTCTGGGATGGAACGATCTTTGACCACGCACCGGCACTATCTCCGACCGTCCCTATAGAGTCCGAGAGTCGTGGCGCAACGCAGACCAATGGAGGACTGCTGCTGATCACGACGGCGCAGACAGGAGCTGTTGCTTTTCCGTGGTGTATCATTCTGTCAGGAGTGCCGCTGGGGGCGAGATGACTCTGTAAAATACGCGTTCGTGCATATGTTGTGCACGTACGTGCTCATACATACGCTGAACCGACGGCTCTGCGGCACCACAAAAGCAGCCGAAATCAAAAGTACCAACCTAATGCCAAGACTACAGTAGTCAGAGCTCACTATTCTAACCCTACACCCCTAAGACAATAGTCTGATGGTTTCATTTCGGCTCCTCACTAACAGGGGCCCCGAAACCTATGTAGGCTGATGGTTTCATTTCGGCTCCCTACTACAAACAGGGGCCCCGAAACCTATCTATGTAGGCTGGACACTTGATCGAGGTGGTTTGTTCCTGAAACCCAGGATACTGTTGCCCAGAGTATTGCCGACGAAAAGACTCTCGTCTGAGACGGACCCTGGAACATTCCGCAGGATGTGGGTGACGAAAGGAGAACATGACGCCAAAAAGACATTGGATGGACCGTCTAGGAGAGCCCTCCTCGGAGCGAAATGTCTAGTCGTTCGGATCCCACGACCTAAATAAGTCTGTTTATTTCAAACAAGTCTACCGACTATAGTGTAGTGGTGGGTTGATTTCGAATCCTGAAACCCACATGATGTGCAAGCGAAGGACCCCCCTGGAAGTTCAGTGTGATGCATAACCGCGCTTGCTTGTGTGCGTGGTGCTATGCTCGTATCGATCGACGTCGAAATGGACGACGACGGTTGCGGTAGACTCACAGTGGGTTGGTTTGCAGAGACCCTCTGCCGGTCAAGTCTCAGAGGTTGGACGCAAGTAGCTAGACGGTAGTCGGCGTCCAGGGAGCGTAGTGATGGCACCAAAAAGTCATTCCTCTTATGTTGTATCGAAGATCTGGAAGATACGGTGCTGCCTACCAGCTAGGGCGCTCGCCAATCCTATCCCACCAATGTCATCCATCCGTGGTATGTCGGTGTTTCTTGTCTTGCAATCCTTTTATGTATGTACTGCGAACATGCAACCTACCGGTATTTACTACTGCTGCTTGCTGTGGAATACAACTCTCTGACGATATCACTCGCACGCTAGCTCGCGGCACGCTATCAGCTCAGCATCAACAGCAGCACTCTCAGGCTTCAGTTTCTTCCGTTCGCAATAATAGCTGCGTTCATCAAGTGACATTGAAAGAGAAGCGAAGCCCTGCCATCGGGAATGATAGAGACGCCGCACCTCCGTTCCATCTACGGCTATCATAATAGATCTATGGCCCCGGCCGTGGGGCTTTCGTCGCGTTTCCAACGGCGTGATCTTCGCCCTCCAAATCTAGCCTACTCTATTCTAGATAGTTAATCGTGTTCATCCCTGTAGTCGCCGCTATAACACAAACAATTCTAACCCTGCTTGACGAGCGGGGTTCTAGACGAAGAGCATGGGGCCTCTTCCAACTTGTCACAGCTAATAGTTCCATTTCCCAAGAATAAACAGTCTAATGATGCCGCTCCCATCACGACTGACTCTGTCGGTCTCAATAGACCATAACCTTTTCCACCCTCCCTTTCAGCGCAACAGAATAAATACCAAAAGCACAGGCGGGCTCACGTCTCGAGGAGAATGCCAGGGCTCGGCAAAAAAGCCGTTTCAAACAATCAACCAACGGTCATGACACGTCCGAACAAACCGACGCTGCAATCAATACCGTCATCACAAACAGTTTCTTGACACTAAATAAATGATTCCGGATAGCGCCACCTGTAGACTTGGTGCATCATTAAGGCACAATACTTCCGAAACAAGTATAAAAATGACTTGTACGCAGTCAGTCAGGTGTGATATCAAGGTATAAGACCCTCCGCACGAAAAATGTATTTGCGAAAAAGATAGCGTAGGTGTAGATACAGAGTGGTGCTTGGTATCAAGCTCGAGACGCAAAAGCGAGCTTAGTCTCTCGAGCTATGAGAGGCACAATGTAAGAGGTGGAGCCATCAGGAAAAAAGTACCCTATGCATGCTTTATGCGTCGTAGCCCACGACCTACATCATATTGATCGACCCCCACAACAAGCAACACGTAAACCGGCAACATAAGACTATGAACGAACGTGCGTCGGCCCTAGGCTACCTCGTTGATATCCGATGCAACCATACCAACATAAAATGCAAGTTTGTGTAGGAGCCTTAAAACACCGACCGATGGACAAGCAGCAATCTGCCGGGTTTGCTACACCACAAAGGCGCTCTTTCCGTGCAACCTTATCGTTCCGGATCCGACACTGGGGTTGCCTGTTGCGAGTCTGGTGGGCAGCCTGTTCGTTGCCGCACAAAACAAACGATCAAGGAAGAAGAGAATCAGTTGCAGACGACTTTGTTGCGGGTGCTTTGCACCCGCACTTCTGTGGGAAGGTGCAGGCGTGCACACCCATCCTAATGAAGCAATTTTTACGGAAATGATTTGCACGAATACCATCACAGACATTTTCTCGAAGATATTCATCTAGTAAGCATACTTGTAGTCCGTCTCGATTTCAGCATGCTACATTTTCGTACCATATGACTTGCAATATGTATGCAGTGCACTACTAGCCTAGAATGTAACGCGGCCTCCAAAAGAAATATCGGTTTTCCTCCGGTTTCAAAGACCTGGCACGCCACAGGCATTGTTCAGGTTTTCCCGCCTAGACGTGCAGAAGATGCCATAAACCTTCTCTCTCCTCTACTACCGTGCATGGCCAAGTCAAGGACGGCATCAGCAGCGCAAAAGCGTAAACAAAACTACTGTAATATAGAAGACACAGGTTTCGGGCAACAGGTCTTCGTTTTATATTTATACTTAAGAAGTCCGGCGATTTTCTACAGGCAGGTTGCTCACAGACAGAACGGCAACGAATGCAAAACCCGAGGAACGCATGACGGTGCGTGTCCAGGCAGGCTGCAGTCTGTTTCGCAAGAGACAGCTCACCACCGTTTCTTCTGCCGTCCGCTGCGGCTGCTGCTGCCGTGCCTCTAGCCCTCGCTAGAAACAATCCCCCCAAGCCCTTCTTCTCCGCTTCGTCGCTCTTCGGCCATCGTCTTCGTGTTGTTGTTAGCGGAGGAGTCGAGGTAAGCCTGTTTCGCAACACGATGGGATGGGATGCGATTGAGATGACGCGTGGTGTGTTCGGTTTCAACGGTTGTCGCATATACCAACGTTGTCAGCATATTTTGGAAAGGGGATTATGAACAGCGGGGGAACTAAGGGTGGTTCTGAACGACCAAAAAAACACGGAACATTTCACGGAAGCGTGTTTTCTTGAACATGTGTGGAGACGTTTTTCCTCGGAAACGTGAATAGCAGGAGCCGGGATTTTTCGGGGCTTGCTACTTTCACGGATCCGTGTTGTTGACAGAAGCATCGGACAAGTGCACCGCGGGCACTGTAACATCACTGAGAACGCTAGAAAGACCTGCCAGACTCACGTACGTCCAGATCTGTTGTGGAGATGGACAAGCGGCAGAAGCGGCGTTCAGTCCGTTTTTGGTCCAAAACTAGACATTGCGTGGTGTTCTCGTCTTCATCTGCTGCTGTTGGTGCCGGGGAATTTTTTTCAATCACACATAGCAAACTCGGAAACAGTAGAACGGGTACAGCAGCAGTACCAAGACCTCCAACGCGCTGATTCCTTCGGTTCGGCTGTCTTTATGATACCATCTCGCGGCACCGTACTGCTTCGTGGGTATTGGGAGCTTGGGTGCTGCTTAATAAGGTGTGTGAGAGACGTGTGCCACCTCACCAAAATGCCGTTGGAAAAAATGCGGCGAGATGATGTGTTTTTAGTCGGACACGTCAACATCAATCCACGGCACCACGCAGCAGAAGAGCAACAGGGCCTCCGAAACGCTAATAATTCTTTCGGATTGGCCATCTGTATGATGCTGGCCGTCAGCGCGGCTGCCGCCCTATGAATGTTGAGCTCGTCTACCTTTGGGCAGATGGTGGTCAAAGATGGGAGTCGCAACCGTGGAAAATGAGCTGGCAAACTGAAGAAATCGCAAGCAACGCCCAGGTTGCGACAATCTGCCCTGCGCCTGTTGTTGCTGAAAACTGAAAACAGCAGGCCGGGTGGATAGGATCTTTCTAAGTGTGTTGTCCTCTGTGTCAGGTGCTGCTCATTGCGCTTTTACCGCTGCTCTATGGTGAGCTTCACCAACTCAACCTATTGTGTGCCGAGCAAAACGTGTATTCAGGGAAGGAAACGTACTTTGCGATGACATCGCGAATAGAACAAGCGAAAAAAAGCCGGGTTTTCTTGTCACCGTTCCGTGGAAAATATAACTATATTTCCGAAGCGTTAAGAACCACGCTTAAAGGAAGAATCAACCTACTCGCCCGCACCTGTTCGTTTTCAGCCGGCCGCGGAAGCTCCTCTGCAGGGCTCCCAACATCCCCGCAGATGCCCTGCGCGGGCTGTTGCTTCTGCTACAGCCGCTGCTGCTTTCACCGTCGTCGTTATCGCTGTTGCCGGCCCGTTGGGGGCTCCGCCGTTTCTTGGCAGTCCAAGACCTGGCCCGCCGGAGGAATCGAGAGGATCGACGGGAGTTGCTACTGCGGGTGGCTTCTTCGCCGCGCGTACCGGGGAAAGAAGGGTATTCGTTTTTCCCGGGAGGCGCACCCTCCGCTCCCTTAGTGTTGGCACCAGTGGCGTCTCGAGCGGGAGCAGTGGCAGCGGAGAAGGCCCACGGCGTAGTGGGGTTGTTGGGCCTCTCACTTGGTCTGATGGAGACCGGGTCTGACCGTAAAAAAGAGAAAAAACAAAGGCACGGTACGTGATCGGCAACAACAACTTGGGGCTTTTTTCCGGAGCTCTTTTCCAGTGTCTCGAAAGGAATTTCATCCTTGCTTACAGGATAAGGTGGATTGTGTTCGTAATTGAGGACAACGCAACCAGAGAGAACTAGAGAACTATTGTAGACTTGTAGTCCAAAAGGGAGACGCCAAGTGTCGAACAATATTTCTTGAGTTAGCTAGCACTTCTAACGTTTTGACGGGAGAGTGTTCCTGCCTTCACATTGAAGATAGAATCGAGCTACATGATAAAGATGTACTTATATATTCCGTACACATGTAGAGCAGAGTGGGGCTGAAGGGCACAACCGTACCGGCGATGAGGTATTCGCCGGGATGGGCGCGAGCAACATTCGCACATTGTCATCCTTCGGAGAGTTAGAAGACGCAAATGACGGAGGATGACGGATAATAAGTGGGAGGGCGCAACAGAAACCACAACTCGAATAGGTCGGCGGCAAGTTGTTTTTCTCGATTCGCACAAAATGATTTGTGTCGCACGAAGTCCCATCGGTTGGAAGAGTGCGATAGTTAGAGGTAGGGTCGGAACAACCAAGGCAACAATAATAACAACAACAACAGCAACAACAACAACAGGGTTGAGCCGTAGGTACAAAACAGCGGTGGCTCCGATATAGAGAGTGGTGCAACAAAGGCCCTTGACCCTCTTACACTGGCGGCCCCCTTTATGTCCGGAATAAAGAGGGTTCCCAATCAAAATATAGTGGGTTGAGTCCGTGACGGCCCATTTCGACGCTCTTATATCGGAGCACCCTCATACACTGAAATTAGAGGGTACCCAACTATACTTTGAGCGGGTCGAGTCCGTGACAGCCCACTTCGATCCTCTTACATCGGCGCCCCGTTTCATACCACCGGAAGAAGAGGGTACCCAACCACTAATGAAGCGGGTCGAGTCCGGGACAAACCGATTTCGACCCTGATACATCGGAGCCCCCTCTTACAAGGTATCCTCCTATATCGGGGCCACGACGAATGTATTGAGATATTATAGCAGGACGAATTTCATGGGTTCGGCACGTACGTACCTTGCATGAGTGCCAGCGGGTTGACGTGCTCTGTTTCGAGGCTGCTGGAACTGGTGCTCACACTGCTGGAAATGTAAGCGAAACGCTCGTTGTCCTCTTCAGCATCGCCCTCATTCTCCCCGCTCTCACTTCCCCCCTCTTCCTGCCGCTGCCGCTTTGTCACGGTCTGTTGCTCGCCTCGACTGTGGAGGACAAAAAAAACGTTTCGAATGTGGATCTCAATCAATGCTTTGGCACATCATATGATATACAGTGGGGGGGGGGGGGGGGGGGGGTACTCATAGTCGTGCATGCCGTAGTCGTTAGACCATTGACCTCGCATCCCTACAAAGCCGGGACGGAGCACGCCGGGTTCTCACCGGACCAGGCTCTCACATCACCAAGCGCGAAGCGCCGTGAGATATTCGGCGAGTCGCATGAAGGGTGCGCTGCATCCTGCTAAGGGTGTTCGGCATCTTGTGCTTACTTCCTTGCGTACGGATGACAGCTGCGTATGAATTAATTTATTTTCTGGTGCTTTCACTTCCAGAGACAGTTGTAAGCACTGTGTAACTGCCTCGAGGGTGCTTGACCATTTTAACACAACGTGGTGCGATCATCCCCCTTGCGCGGAGCGAGGGTTCTCCACCCCGCACAACATGACCTACTTGGCCACCATTATGCTGGATATATAGTGAAGGAGCCTTTTTGGTGCCGGTTGGTCGAAACGTGCCGGTACCCGCTATTGTGCCGTCAATTCTCCAGGCACAAACCTGCACTAACCAGCCCCCCCCTTCCTCCCCCCCGGTGTTTGCCATCGGGGTTGGGTTTTCGTCGCTTGGCGAC